AAAAAAAACAAACAAGAACCAAGTGCTGCCCCTACAGCATTTCATTTCACTTAAAATAGTCGACAAACTGCCCAGCTCAAAAGAAGCAAAAGATGACGTTTCCATTCAAACTTTTTTTTTAATTTCCCTCACAATGAAAACACAAAAATAAGGAGAAAAAAAAAAGATCTTCCCAGAAAAACAAACTGTTCAGTTGCTGCAATGAGGCAGCACGTGAACCAATTTCCCCCCCCAACTCTGTTGTACAAAGTAACAAATGGCGATAAAATAGACAATTACTTACACATCTGATTGCATTCCAAAATACATTTGTGCAATTTAAAAGCAATGCAATTAACTCCCCGAATCGTAATGGAATGGAAATTATGTTGCAGGACTGTAATTTAATTAAAATAATGCATAAAAGTGCCACCAGGGGTCAGCAAGGAATTTCCCTGTTCAAAAGTGCACAGTATGCCCCCCCCCCAACTCTGTTGTACAAAGTAACAAATGGCGATAAAATAGACAATTACTTACACATCTGATTGCATTCCAAAATACATTTGTGCAATTTAAAAGCAATGCAATTAACTCCCCGAATCGTAATGGAATGGAAATTATGTTGCAGGACTGTAATTTAATTAAAATAATGCATAAAAGTGCCACCAGGGGTCAGCAAGGAATTTCCCTGTTCAAAAGTGCACAGTATGCCGAAGCGCTCTCCCCCCTGCCCCTCCAACTTCAACATTATCATGACATTCGGGTTGAATTCAGAAACTCTCAATGTTTCATCATCTGTGCCACCGTTTAGCCTCACACAGTTACAAAGTGGAAGGCAAGTTGTCAAAGGCAACATCGGGCAGCCAATTAATCTTGGTTTAAGGAAGAAAAATGTTCCACTTTGCAAGAGTCTATTAATTACCTCCTAACAAGGGCTACTCTGCGCCGCCTAATGTACTGCGCCTAATGAAAATGGAACTGATTCATCGCAACACCCTGAATCCACACTGCGTCTTTTGTGATCGCTATCGTACTGTGTAAAGTGGAACACGGAGCTGTGTAATAATAATCCTCGTGTTTTGCATTTGTCATAATTAAGACGCAGTGGAATTGCAGCGCGACCTTAGAAGAGCGACACCAGCTTATTGGGTAACATCCATTCACGCCCCCTGATTACGCACTTACTGTGATATTTATTGTTAGGGAAATGCGGACAGGAAGGAAATGTTTGCCTCGCTTGGGAGGAGTCTAAATCCATCAAGTCAAATATGATGGCGCTGTTGAGCAGCCGAGCGGGATGAGAAAAAAAATACATCCATCCATTTTCCGATCCGCTTTACCCCTCACCAGGGTCGCGGGCGTGCTGAAGCCTATCCCAGCCGTCTTTGGCTGGGGGACACCCTGAACTGAATGCCCGCCAGTCGCTATGCATGTTTTTGGAATGTGGGAGGAAACCGGAGTACCCGGAGAAAACCCACGCAGGCCTGCGGGAGAACATGCAAACTCCACACAGGAAGGCCGGAGCCGGTATCGAACCCACGACCACTGCACTGTGAGGTCCACGCGCGCGCTAACCACTGGACCACCGGGCCACCCTGTCTCGTGATGTCGTCTATGTAAATAGCTTTGCATTGTTTCTTAATGTCACGGGATGCTTCGGATCGGATATTTCTGTTTATACCCAGTAGAAGAAGGGAAGTCGTTTCCTTTCCTGGCTCCCATAAATATTTGTGGCAATAACGAAACGTGACAGCCGTTCAGAAATTATAATGGCGCGCGGACTGTCTAATGCACGACGCTATTATGAAATATCAGCTACGTAGCACATGTACAACTCGCATTCCGTCTTTGCTAGATGCTTTGTAGCGTGTCCCAATAACGTTCTCTCTCACTACATTATCCGAACTTGTGGTGTCTATTGACTGGGCCTTGTATGAGCCAACCCCCGCAAACGTGCCGCAAGGTCATTACGGTGCTGCCAACGGTCATGATTTGTTCCTTCCTCATTATGCTGGGATGACTAAGTTCCTTAGAAGGTGCTAGCGGGAAGGAGTGAAAGTCACAAGAAGCCCTTTGTCTGAACTTTTTTACACCTAGGGACAATTTAGAGTGTTCAATCAGCCTGCCATGCATGTTTTTGGAATTTGGGAGGAAACCGGAGTACCCGGAGAAAACCCACGCAGGCCTGCGGGAGAACATGCAAACTCCACACAGGAAGGCCGGAGCCGGTATCGAACCCACGACCACTGCACTGTGAGGTCCACGCGCGCGCTAACCACTGGACCACCGGGCCACCCTGTCTCGTGATGTCGTCTATGTAAATAGCTTTGCATTGTTTCTTAATGTCACGGGATGCTTCGGATCGGATATTTCTGTTTATACCCAGTAGAAGAAGGGAAGTCGTTTCCTTTCCTGGCTCCCATAAATATTTGTGGCAATAACGAAACGTGACAGCCGTTCAGAAATTATAATGGCGCGCGGACTGTCTAATGCACGACGCTATTATGAAATATCAGCTACGTAGCACATGTACAACTCGCATTCCGTCTTTGCTAGATGCTTTGTAGCGTGTCCCAATAACGTTCTCTCTCACTACATTATCCGAACTTGTGGTGTCTATTGACTGGGCCTTGTATGAGCCAACCCCCGCAAACGTGCCGCAAGGTCATTACGGTGCTGCCAACGGTCATGATTTGTTCCTTCCTCATTATGCTGGGATGACTAAGTTCCTTAGAAGGTGCTAGCGGGAAGGAGTGAAAGTCACAAGAAGCCCTTTGTCTGAACTTTTTTTTTTTGTCTGCTTGGGTACATTTGTGTTTCAAAAAAGAATTAAGATTGCTCATGTTGTCGCTTGTTCGATGTCCCATTCTATGGTTATCAGTACGTCATCACTCGTACTTTTATGTAGGTGGTATGATATCAACAAAAATGTGCTTGTCTTTGTAAGTCTTTTTTTTTTTTTGCAGAAAATAAAACCACACCACAAGACAAATAGTAAAAAATACTTTATAAAATATAGATATTTACACAAAATAGTGCTTCGTCTACCGGCGCATAAAACATACATTACAATCTTACAGTCTCAAAAGTGCAACAGAACATGTTGCCGTCAAAGTCAAAATATGGAAAATACAGGCGTGCGCGGGAGTCCGTCAGTCTACGCTTGCAAGAAAGTGATGCGGTTTCGTCTCAGGCGGCGCATTTTTCCTCCGCTGCCCTTTTTACCTCCTGAAGGAAAGCGTTTGGAAAAATTAGTCTCGTCTTGATAACGGTCGTGGATTTTGGTGAATTTCTACCAACGCCCGCTCACACCTTTAACACACACGTCCATGCAGCTGTGCCTGGAGACGAAATTGTTGCTGCTCCCACCGCAGCCTGAATACGTGAACTCCTCGCAGGTCTTGGTGGTCTTGTTGTAGTAGTAGCGTGGTATGGAGGCAGAACATTTGCCTTTGTCCAGAGGGTCCAGGCACAGCACGGGAACCGCTGCGAAAACAATAAGACGCCGTTAGCGACAGGAAACATCGAAATATTCTCACTCCAGTTCCTCTGAAAGCACTCACATTTTCGCGGGCTGCAGTACTCCTTGCAGGAAGTCAAGTCGGGGAAGCGGTTGTCATTGCCCTGGCAGCCGCCGTAGTAAAAAAGCTCACACTGCATGCTGGTCATGTTGAAGAAATAGCGGCTGAAGAGGGCTCGGCAGGGCCCCTCCTCCATGGGAAACCTGCACGTCTGAGGGATCTCTGGGTGGGGGAGAAACACAAAGAGATTGGATCAATTTGAAACCGGTGTCCACTCATTAGGAACATCTACACACGAGAGACTGTCGACTGTTTAAAAAAAAAAAAAAGTGTTGTTATTTTTTTTTTTGCGTGTGCTAAAACAGTCATTTAAGTTGTAGCAAGTTTAAAATATTTGACATGTATGGCAACAGCGTTAGCGCAACAAAGCAAGTTGTTATTTCTCGAAATGCTTTTCCGACGACAGTTCTCTAAAGTTGTCTCTCTTGGTCATGGAATTGGAATTTCTCCATCGCGAGACTAATAAAGGTTTTCTTATCTTATCTTATGAAATGCGGGAGAGCTGATTTTAACAGCAAAACAGAAAATATCTCAAAGGCATTTGACTAGAGTATCTGAGTGTCCGTGTTTAAATCCTGCTGCTTTAAAAAAAAAAAAAAAAAAGGCAACTAGATGTTGGGGGGGCACCCGTCCTTTAAC